GAAATCTCAGCCACTCAGAAGGCTCCGGCAGGTTCAAAAGCAGCCTCGCACCTGCAAAGCTCCTGAGTTCCGTCTCCAGTTCCATACACAAAAAAAGATAAACATACAAGCTGTGGGAAAAGCGGTCAGCTGGAGCCCACCTGCCCCACATGCCTGAGGCTCTGTATTTTATCTCTATCATTCCCCACCCCACACAAGGAAAGGTAGACTTAATTGTTAAGAAGACAAGTCCCCACCATGTGCACTCCTTACAAAACCCACTTTAAGTGTACAGAAACACAAGGCGAAGTGGTGGTGCCCACCTGTGATCCCAGCACTCAAGAGGCTGAGGCAGGAGGATCATTGTAAGTTTGAGACCAACCTGGGCTACAAAGTGATCTCAAGGCCAGCCTGGACTGGATATCAAGACCCTGTCTCCAAAAGACAAACAAAAAAGTGTACAGAAACGTGCTGATGCTCACAAAAATACTGAAGGAGCAATATTAACATCAGAAAAAGTAGACATCAAAGTGAGGTCCACTGTGACAGAGAAGAGGGATATTTCCTCATGGTACAGATGTCAGTGCACTGAAAAGATGTTACAATCCTCAACGTGCATGATAATACTCCCCATGCTCCAAAAAAAAAGAAAACATTCCTTGAAACACACAAATTACCAAAAGTAATACAATAAAAATAGAAAACCTGAATAGCCCTAAAGCTACTAGAGAATTAGAATTCGTAACTACAACCTTCTCACCAAGAAAACTGTAGATCCAATTTATTACACTAAAGATTCTTTCAAAATAGGGAAGATACAATGTCAATTATATGAAAAAAATTTTGAGAATAAATGAAAATTTCTCTACTCATTGCAATTGTCATTAGCCAGATTCCAAACTTTTAAATGACAAGAAAACTAAAGACTCATAGCTTTCCTGGAGACAGACACAAACTCCTAAGCCAGTGGAGCCCAGCAATATATAAGGGACACAGTACCATGATCAAATGGATTTTCCCCCAGATCTCAAGTTGGCTCAGTATTCCAAAATCAGTCATTCTAAGCCACTGCAATTATAGAGAAGACAAACAAAATGAATTCTCTCTCAGCAAAGACACGATTGATGATTGGAAAAGCCCTCAGCAGACCAGCTCCTTCCCTGGCAGTGAGCTGGGAGCCTACTCCCCAGCCTAAGACAGAGCCTCCACACAGCCCTGGGCACCTCGCACCGGGAAGGGAGGTGGCGCTGGCTCCCTCAGCTCAGGGGACAGCAAGCACCCTGCTCCTTGTCCTTCCCAGCACTGCTGGACACTGGGTCACAGCACAGCCCCAGGGCAGGAGGCAGAGCAAAGTCCTGGAGAAAGAAGAGGTCAAACTGGTTGGGGCTTGTGGTGCAGTTTTGTGGTGCTGGGGCTGGAGCCCAGGGCCCAGCCTGTACTGAGCAAGGCAGCACCCTCACTGAGCTGCACCCTGGTCCCCGAGATTCTTTGGACTCTGTGCTATGACTGTGTAAATAAAACAGCCCAAGGACTCTCCACAAAACAACACAACACAAAACAAAACATAACAGAACATAGCTAGAGCAATAAGTGAATTCACCAGGACTGCAGGATTAAAACGTATTTAGATACCCTTTTAGATTTAGATTTTCACTTTCTACCTAAGCAAATAACAGTTAGAAAATGAAGTTGATCTACTCTAGATAGAATTGTTTCTAACTTAGCAGGTTTCCTGACGTTTTCTTCTAGGTTTTGTCTGACTTTTGGTACTGGGGATTGAACCCAGAGATCACTGAGCTGCATCTCCAGACCTTTTTATTTATCCTTGAATTTTGAGACATGGTCTCCCTAAGTTTCCCAGGCTGGCCTCCACTATAGAGCCCTTCTAACTCAGCCGCCCTGTTCCCAGGATTATAGTTGTGTATACTGCTCCATCAGTTGCTTTAGCCAATGACATATTTTCAAACCATTCACAGGACCTTTTGTTGGGTAAAGGTTTTTTAAATTTGGTGAGGTCCAATATTACATTACGAATTCATCTTTTTATATTATTTCTAAGAAGTCTGAACCAAGCCCCAAGTACAAAACATTTTCTCCTATGTTATCATCTAAAAATTTTGTTTTATATTTTGATATTTAAATCTGTGATCTATTTTGAGCTCTTTTTTATATGAATTTTATAATTCAATAGTCCTTACATTTCTCCCTCCTTCTGTTCTTGTAATTTTATTGGGGATTTTCTTGTCTTTTTTTTTTTTTTTTTTTTTTTTTGTTTTGTTTTTTGAGACAGGGTATCCCTATATAGTTCAGGCCAGCTTTGAACTTACTATGTAGCCCAGGCAGGCTCAAACTTGTGTCAATCCTCCTGTCTCAGCCTCCTCATACACCACCACACCTGGTTGTTCCAGTAATTTTAGATGGTGTCGTCATTTTAATACTATTTTCCAATTTTCTTACATTTGTTAATCTTTTTTTTTTTTTTTTTTTTTGGTGCCAGGGACCGAACTCACGACCTTGCATTTGTCAAGCAGGCACTTACACTGCTGAGCTAAATCATTTGTCATTTTAATCTTGTTGGTAGAATATAAAAGTATGGGGATTTGTGTATGTTTATCTTGTTTACTATAATCTTTCTGAATTTCCTTATTAGTTTAGGAGGCAAAGAATGACGGCTTGTTTTTGGCAATGGTGATAGTTTTGATTTTGTGATATTTTCTAAGCAGACCATCATGCCATCTGCTAAAATAAGTCTTTTCACTTCTCTTTCTCTTTTGCTGGGGATATAGCTGAGTTCAATTTCTGTTATCAAAAAAAGAGAGAGGAGATAGAAACAGAGACAGAGACAGAAAGAGAGAGAGACAGAGAAAGATCCTTGCCTTCTTTCTGATATTAAAGGAAGCATTTAATGAAGGTTGTACACATTTATCACAGGACATGTGACAATTTCAGGGTTAACTGTCATGTGCAAGAGCATAAGTAAGGCCTACATTATAATTCTACCCCCTTTTTTAAGATGTCAAGATTGTGTCAAGAGACTGGCTGTTCATGGAGACCCCTGAGCATCACATCCTATTTTGGAAGAGAGCCTGTAGCATTTCAATGGCTTTATAACTGTTTAACTCCCTGTTTTCATAAGTGGCAGTGAGATATTTGTTTTTTTAAACATTGGCTAACAGAATTCATAGTGATTATTCAAAGTGAGCAAAATGCAGGGCAGCTTACTATTAGGATTTGTGTGTGTGTGTAGTACTGGGGATTGAACTCAGGGCCTTGTGCATGCTAAGCATACTATTGAGATTTTAAAAAATTATTCAGAGCCAGGCACAGTGGCACACACTTGTACACTTCTAGTCCCCAAATACTTGGAAGGCTGAGGCAGGAAGATCACTTGACCTCAGGTGTTCAAGGCCAGCCTCGGCAACACATCAAGATCCAGTTTCAAGGTCTAGGTTTAGCTCAGTGGCACAAGCACCTGCCTATCAAGCACAAGATCGTGAGTTCGATCCCAGGTTCTAGAAAATAAAAAGACCCAGTCTCAAAATAGAGTCAAGGATATAGCTCAGTGGTACAAGTACCTGCCTGGCAAGCATAAGGTCCTGAGTTTGATTCCAGGTATCAAAAAAGATAAAAAATATAATCATAGCAGGGTGTGTAGTACATGTCCATAATCATACCTGCATTGATGGATTGGTGTAACCGCTTCTACAGATGCAATTACGGTGACAGCTAGGTGGCAATACCTTGCAGGATTGGGCAAGGATCTTCAGAAGGCTGCATATGATGAGAAACTCATCTGATAAATGGTACCATTTCTCCTGAAGCCAGGACACCCATATTCAGGAATCAAAGCGTGAAAATGGGAATGGTATCATTCCCATTACCGCTAGTGACTCAGTAGCAAAATATTTGTTACTGTTCCTGTGACCAAAGAAGCCTTAGTTCTAGAGGGGAGAAATGCTCTTACCAGGAGGCACAGCAATGTTTCCACTGGACCAGAAGTCAGGACTCCCCCTGGCTCTGGACTCCTTATGCCGCTCAGTAAACAGGTGCTGGCAGGGGTGATTGATCCAGACCACCGAGGGAAACGGCGTTACTCACCCACCAATCTGCTCACATCCCCATGCCCTAATATGAAATAGGAAGCCTAAAACTAGAACAACAAAATCCAGGCAAGTTGACAAATAGCCAAGACCCTGCAGAAACAGTAGTAGGTCATGCTCCCACATAAAGAAGCGGCACCTACAGAGGTCCTGGCTGAAGCAGTAAGCTATTCAGAAGGCAAAACAGCAGGTAGTGTGAGGGACCAGTTACAAAACAAGGATCACAACTGTCACCGCAATTCTTTCCTATGTTGTTAATATGTTTGCACATACAAACACACATTGAAGCAGATGTCTTTCTCTTTTGTATTTCTACACCATGTAACAATCACTTATCTCAATATTACACTTAAGTGTTGTTAAATCTGCGTTATATTTTATGGGTTATCTGAAGAGTAAGTGTCAGCCACAGAAAAACTTTGCCTCCTGCTCTGGGCAGGAGGTTAGGGCATTTCCAGTAGTACACGGGCTACATGCATAATGATAAGTGCAATGATGAACTTGCTGTTGTCTTTATTTAGGGATGTGTTTGGCTGGAAAACTGACTAGGGGAGCTTGTGAGCCTTGCCCAGTTCTCAGCAGCTAGTTAGAGCCAAGGCCATTCAGCGGCCTCCAGCCATCACTCTACCCAGCTTTGTTCCCAGCCTGGGTCAGGTACTCCTTTCCCTCCGCCTAGGGCCGGGGGCCAGCAGAGAGCCGTCCTGGGCTCCTGTCCCAGTGCTGCCTGTTAGTAGTTGCACACTAGGACAGACCCTTGGCCCCAGGCTGCCCTGGCTGCTGCTCTGGGAAGAAGGGTGGAGTTAGGCTGGAGTCAAAACCATCTCCTGAAGGGCTGTGTGGTCAGAGGCGGGGTTCGGGGAGGTGGTGAGATCCTGGGGCACTGACCTCACAGCTGACTGTGCTGCTGGAGGTGGGGCCGAGGGAGGAAGTAGGTCACTGGGGGTGGCCTGGGAAGGGGGTGTCTCCTCCAACTCTTCCTGCTCCATGCTTCCTGGTTATCAGCAGTTGAGCAGCTCCACTGCCGAGCAGTTCCTGCCTCGGAGCCGGAGCCGGCGGACCGTGCCCTGAAATGTGAGTCAAAACCAAACTTTTCCCCACAAGCTATGTATAGGGGGTGTGGTCCCAGCGAGGCCAGGCTGATGGGGCCAAGTGTCACTGCACCTTGCTCAGTCGCGGCGGCAGTGGCCCTGGGAACCCAGTTCCCCGTCAGCCCCTGTCCTGTCTGCATCCAGCCAAGGGACTCTTGAGAGCTCTCTGGGCACCCACTGCCCTCAGTGTGACCAAGACCAGAAGTATGAACCCACGATGACCACCACCACATTCGTCTGCAGCCCAGCCAGGTGCCGTGGCTGACGGTGGCTGGTGCTGGGACCTGTGGGGCCCAGCCTGGAGGGGAAGCCGGGATGGTCGGGCTCTTGGCCACTTTCCTTATGCCTCTCCTGTCCCTCTCCCTCCCCTAGTCTCCTCTGGGCCTTTCCTGCTCCCAGACCCCAGGCAGACACTGCGGCTGCATCCCATCCTCACCCAGGCTGTGGGCTGATCCCACCTAGCCCTCTCAGTGAGCTGGAAAGCCCTGGCCTGGCCCTGGGTGGCTTTGGAATTGTCCTCAAGGTCCCTGGGGGACCCAGTGCCTAGAACACACAGTGTGCACGATTATTTGGAGAATACTGCCCACCTGTCCCTGCCCTACCTCTAACATTAGCTGGGTCACTTGCAGCATCCACAAGGTTTTAGAAAATAATTGGGGGAGAGCAACACAGAGATGGGCAATGGAGAGGTGAACCCAGGGTGTAGTCACTTAGGGGAGAAATAAGTAGGCAAAACCTTCTTACAGAAAGGAATATGTCACCATGGCGCCAAACCTTAGGGGTGCTCAGAGCATCTTTTCCCATAGTACTCTCTGCCCTCTGAGGCTGAGCACTGGCCACCCGATGTGGTCAGCTTGGCCCCTGAGGTCCTCGAGGCCCCATCTATGGCTACAGCCAGGCTGGGGAAATGGAGGTGCCTGAGGACTAGTGCTGGCCTTGGTAATTAGGTGATAAATGTTAGCAGTTCATAGTTATGAGCTCTTTCAAATAATATTTCAAGCTGCCAAATTCTAGCATCCCTGGAGCAGTGGGAAAGACCCAAGAATATATTGTGATGGCTTTGACTTCGATGATGGCCGCATTCATGGCTTTCATCGCAGGAGCTCCATTGTCAGTGGAAGTCGGGCATCGGCCAGGCGTAGTGGTGCAGGCCTGGAATTACAGCACTTAGGAGGCTGAGGCTAAGGCGGGGGATCACCACAGTTCGAGGCCAGCCTGGGTTACACAGTGAGTTTAAGACCAGCTGGAACTACATAATGACACCCTGGGGGTTTTTGTTGTTTTGTTTTGTTTTGGTTTGTTTTTAAAAGGCGTTGGCTTAGCTGTAGGGTGACAGAGCTGTGACTGTGCCTGCCCCTGTGCCCACCAGCATAGATTTTAATCTCCTAAAACTGGTCTAGAGTAGTAGGCTAGGCCAGTGTGGTGTTGCATGCCTGAACTCCAGCACATTCAAGACAAGGCAAGATCAGGAGTTTGGGGGTAGCCTGTACTCCATAGTGACACCCTGTCTCTTAAATATAAAATAGAATAAATGGTAAGCTACATGACAGTTTCATACAAGTCCCTGATTACATCAGGGGACATTCTGCATTTTATCAGTTTAATGGGTTTATAGTCATGTCCTAATCAGTATCAAGTACATTCACGGTATCAGCGTCCTGTTATAGCTGCAACCTTTACCCTTGATACGTGTGGAACTGATAGTTGTCACAAGCTTCCAACCTTCAGGAACAAGAATTTTACGTCTTCAGCAATAAGGACTAAGGAGATTTTTACTTTTATCCTCATATCACGCCCTACATTTTCTTTTTTTTTAATCTCTATTTTAGCAAGCACCTGCTAAGAAAGAAGACATGGTCTGCATTACCACACTACAGTATTTTGATTTTTTGGAGAGGGATTTGTTTTATTTTTGTGGTACAGGGAATTGAACCCAGGATCTTTGCACTGTGCTACATGAGCAGCTAGCTGGCATCACCGCCCAAACTGTGTCCTCGGATTCCAGTCCAGGTGGAGAATCCTGCAGAGTTGCTGTGTCTCCTTACCGCCCTCCCTTATGAACAGTTCCAGCCTCTTCTTAAACCCCACGAGCGTGTTGTTGGGTGGCCCAGAGCAGTCATTTTACAGGATGTCTCGCTTTAGATTTGTCAGATTGGTCCCTTGGAATCAGATTCAGGTGAAAGCATGGATTGTGTCTCAGGCAGACTTGGGGCAAAAAGTGCACGGTACAGGTGCTGGCCCTGAGCCTGGCCATTCTTCTTTGGAAGGGATGATTCCATGGGGAGAAAGAGGCCGAGGATGTGAGTGTAGGTGGACTGTACTCAGCGCAGAGAGAGCCGAGCTGGGGAAGCAGGGAAGGACAGGGTGGTGTGGCGAAGCTGCCTGTATCCACACATCCCGCTGGGTGCCATCAGCTCCATCTGCCTGGGCGGCATTGTGGTCCAGAGTCGGAGTGACCCTCACTTCCACGGGTCTGCTTTGTGATCCAGTTTCCTGCCTCCAGTGGTGACGCTGACCCTCTCATTTGCAGTGATCTGACCAATGGCCGGGATGGGTCCGCTTCACTCAAACCATCCCTGCAGGTCTGCCTGCCAGTTACTCTGCACCTGCTGTGAGTGCAAGAACCAAGTGGAGACACACTGGCACTGCATGGTCTGCCAGGTAGGCACTGGGTCTTGGAGGGAGGGGGCAGGCCCTGCGGATCCCCGTCACCTGAAAGATGATGCAGAAACATGCTACACTGCTGATCCTGAGCCCCCAGGGTGGGATAGCCTGCTCTCACGTTGAGTGGCCCAGCTAAAGTATTGTGTAAAAACGAGATTTTCTAAGCCAGTTTGTAATCCTTGCGCTCGAGTAGGTGAGGGTGGAAGATCACAAATTTTTTTTTTTTTTTTAAGATCACAAATTTAAAACCAGCTCTGGGCTACAGAGCAAGCTCAAAGACAATCTGGAATACATAAGAAACCCCAGTCTTTCAAAACAAAAGGAGCTTTTCTCCCCCAAGCAGAGTATCGCAAATGATTTCAGCAATTACATTCTGAAGAGTTTACCTGCACCGTCTGATTTTTCCCCCAGGATTATGACTTGTGCGTCTCGTGCTATAACGCTAAAAAGCATGACCACCCAATGGAGAAACTGGGTCTTGGCTTAGCTGCTGACCAGCAGGGTGCAGCCACCCAGAGCCCTGAGGAATCTCGCCGCCTGAGCATCCAGCGAAACATCCAGTACTTGATCCTAGCCTGCCAGTGCCGGGATGCCAACTGCCCATTGCCCTCCTGCCAGAAGATGAAGCGAGTTGTGAATCACACCAAGGGCTGCAAGCGGAAGAGCACTGGCAGGTGCCCCGTCTGCAGGCAGCTCATTGCCCTCTGCTGCTACCATGCCAAACGCTGCCAGGAGAACTACTGCCCTGTGCCGTTCTGCTTCAACATCAGGCAGAAGCTCCGCCAGCAGCAGCTGCAGCCCCGGCAGGCCCAGGTGCTGCACCGGAGGATGGCCAGCGTGTAGGCTGCCAGCTTGGTGGGCCAAATGTAGGGCCAGCCTTCCCCAGCCCCTGCCACTCCAACTACATCAAATGTGCAGCTGCCAAACACTCAGAAGATGGCCCAGCTCCACCTCTGGTGACCTTCCAACTCCTCTACAGAGTACTCAGCTATCCTTGGCTGGGCGCCTACCTGCAACAGTAGAAATAGCAATGCAGATTCAGACAGCAAGGAATAAACAGCGCCAGATGGCCTATGGAAGACAGATGCAATTCCTGAAACCCCAGAATTCCCATGGCCCAATGGACATGAGCCCATCTGTCATGTCTAGAGGTCCCAGTGGGCATCTGGAGCCAGGGATGGGCCCATATCGATGCAGCAGCAGCTCCCTTGGGCCCAAGGAGGACTGCCTCAGCCCCAGCAGCTCCAGTCCGGCATGCCAAGGCTGGCCATGATGTCAGTGGCTCAGCACTGGCAGTCCTTGAACATGGCTCTACAGCCAGGATTGGGCCACTGTGTCTCAGCAAGCCTTACAAAACCTCTTGTGGACTCTCAGGTTCCCCAGCTCTCCTCTACAGCAGCAACAGGTACTTAGTATCCTTCACGCCAACCCCCAACTGTTGGCTGCATTCATAAAACAGTAGGCGGCCAAGTACGCCAACTCTAATCCACAGCCTCTCACTGGACAGCCTGGCATGGCGCAGGGACAGCCAGGGCTGCAGCCGCCAGCCATGCAAAGGGTCCACTCCAATGCAGCCATGCAGAACACGAATGCCACACAAGCAGGCGTGCAGAGCTGGCCTGGCCCAGCAGCAGCCTCAGCAGCAGCTCCAGCCGCCCATGGGAGAGATGAGTCCCCAGGTGCAGCCAACGAATGTGAATCAATATGAATCGTGGCAGTATGTCTTCCCAGTTCTGGAACATGTTGACACCACAGCTGATGATGTGGTGGTGATGACGGTGGCAGCAGCAGCAGCATCACATGCAACAGGTGCAACAGGGAAAGTGGGACAGGTGGGCCAGCTCCCCCAGGCCTTGGGAGCCGAGGCAGGAGCCAGTCTGCAGGCCTGTCAGCAGCGACTCCTCCAACAGCAGATGGGGTCCCCTGCTCAGCCCAACCCCATGAGCCAACAGCAGTGCTCCCAAAGCCCACCCAGTCTGCACACCTCCAAAGCGATTCCCAGCTCTCTCTCCAATCAGGTGCTCTCCTCCAGCCTGTCCCTTCTCCAAGGTCATAGTCCCCTACCCGCCCCGACCCAGTTCTGGGCCCTAACCCCCATCCCCACAGACCTGGACTCAGCACCGATGACACACTTGAGTTCAGACCTCCCACACAATGCACCACGCATACACCTCAGACATCTTTTAATATTTGAGGATCAAAAGTTATTTTCCTTAGTAAGAGTGTTTGTACTGACAACAATTTTTTTTACAATCTTTCTTAGCCTAAGGGCCATTTTCCTTGGAACCCATAAGAACTGTGCAGTAGGCATTAGAGGTTTCAAGCAAACTTGTAAGATGAGCCTGAGGGATGCTAGCATACTAACAACAGATTTTTGCCCTGGCTGCCTCCCCAACCCGTTTCCCCGTACACTGTGGTTTGAGTGCACGCTGGGAGGAGGCTGAGGCCCGAGGCCCCCCTGCTCTTCTGCCTTGCACCCCTACTGGGTTTCCTTCTTCATTTTAAATTTATGAAAATATATAACATTTATTACTATACAGATAGTTAGCATTTTCCCCCTATTTTCCTCATTTTATAGAAGTGTGAAAATTTTCTAAAACCAAAGGGCAAAAGGTGTTAATATGATTATAAAATTATACTTCACATATGTAAATATATTAAAATGCCATCATCTCTCTTTTCGATGCAAAGATGTTCATCCTGATGAAAATATTTTTAAAATTCCTTTTCTACCCTCAAGACAACTTTTTATAGACCAAAATATTTTCTATTTTATAAGTCTTAGTGTAAAACTTCAAGTATTCAAATAACTGATAAAAGATGACTTTTTCAAAATCAGGACTGGTTGTCAGATCTACATTTTATATTTTGTGGTTTCTGTTTCTTGAGAGAAGCTTTTTCATGATTTTTGCACATAACAGTAAAAAAAGAAAAATGAGTAAGAAGGTAAGGAAGGGTTGGATGGGATGACTTTCACACCAAGTGTCCCTGCTGGGCTTCTCTTGGCTTGCTTTCTTTTTCCTCCCCTATTACTGGTTGTGAATAAACTGTGAGACACACACCGAGGCTCTGGCTCACTCTTCCAGGTGTCTTTTTCCTATAGCTCTCGAGTCGGGGAAAAGGGCACATTAGCTCAGGGCAGCCTTAACAGTTAGGATCATCGGCTCCCCAATCCAGCCAGCGGGATTTGTCAAAGTTCAGAGGAACCCAGGTCCAGGTCTCCAGAGGCCAGCCAGACGTCCAGGTGGAAGCGACAGCAGCCTTTACACCTTGGCACAGGACCTCAATCATCTTTCCCTGTCACCAAGAGCTCCTTGGCACCCAGCACTGAGGCCAGGCCATTGTGTTACACTTTGTCACTGAGGGAGCTGGGGGAAGGAAAAGGCGGGCAGAGAACTCCCAGGCAGCCGAAATGAGCTCTTGCAGCCCCGTGCATGTGTGTGCACACAGCCAGCTCCCAGGTCCCCTCCACAGAGCAGAGCTGCCACCCAGTGCCCCGGGCATCCACTGCCCGCCTGCCCTGCCCTTGTCCCCACAACATGCACGGGAGCACAGGAGCCCACGACCAGGCCTGGACGCAGCCCTGCTCTGAGCTGCCAGCTGCGCCCTCCAGTCAGCCAGGTCTAGAGCACAAGGAGGTTTAGGCGAGACAAAGAGGCAGCACCGCGGCGCTGAGTGACAGGGATGCAGAAGGCGCGGGAGAGATCCGTCTAGTGGGAGCGGGAAGGACTCAGGGAGGGAGAGCAGGGAAGCTGGGCCTCGGAGGGCACTGATGGGGAGGAGCGGCGAGGAGAGCGCAGCTCTGCCCAGGTCAGGAAGGACCTGAGCTCCGGGTGCAGGACTCAGCTGCAGGTGCCCCACAGCCTGCGGCGCCGCGCCCTGGGCTCCGCGGTGCCTTTCTAAGCAGCACCTCCCAGGTGTTGTGGCGCCGCCGCTGGCTGACCCCGGGCTCAGAGCTGCAGGAAATATTAATTGGGCGGACGAACAAAGCTCTGCCCCGAGCAGAAGTAGTGTTAGGGAGGGGGAGAGAGGGGAGGAAGGACTCCAGGACTGCGGCACGGATTTCAGTGAATCCGTGTAATTCCTCCGTTCCTTGACTGCTGATTCTGTGTAGTTTCCAAGGTTGGGAAAGAAAAGTGGAGAAGAGGAAAAAGGAGGCCCAGTCTGAACTGTGCCGTCTCTGAATCCTGGAGGCTTGAAAGAGGCTGATGGGATCCAGCAGTATTAGGTGCTTTGCTGACGGCTTACAGATTCCTCCATAAAAGCCTCGCTTGATAAATGAAAAACAAGGAGAGGGGAATGCCTCACTCAGGACAGCTCAGCCAGCTGGGTGCTTCGGTGTCGGCCTATAATCCAAGGTACTCAGGAGGCTGAGGCAGGAGGATCACAAGTTTACAAACAGCCTGGGCTATTGGGGAGTTAAAAGTTAGCCTTGATTACATAGTAAGATCTTGTCTCAAAAAAGCCACAAATAAATTAAAATGAAATAAATCTACAAAAGGCAAATGATAAACTCAATCGTAGAGCAGTTGGCCTAACAGGTGAAAGACCCTGAATTCAAATGCTAGAACTAAAAAACCAAAACAAAACAAAACCTGAATAGACTTTGAAAAGTATTTTTAAAATTCCTTATTTATTTGTTTATTTATTTTGGGGAACAAGAATTGAACTCAGGACCTTGCACTTGCCAGGCTATACCCCCAGCCCTATTTATTTACTAGGTCCTTTCCCCATCTTTTACTTGGGTTTATTGTTGTTGTTGTTATTTGTTTGTTTGCTGTTTTTCCACTTTTTAAACATTTTTAAAAATTAATTTTATTGGTATATTTTAGATATACATAGATACCATTTATCATGGAATTTGTACTTGTATGTTATGTGTGTGTGTGTGTGTGTGTGTGTGTCTATTGAAAACAGTGTCTCACTATGCAGTTCAGCTTGTCCTTGAGCTCATTTTGTCACCCAGGTTGATCTTAAATTTGGAATGATCCTCCTGCCTCAACCTCCCAAGTGCTGGGATTACAGGCTTGCACCAACAAGATCTAACTTGATTTTCTTTTTTCCCCTTTCCTTTCCCTCTCATCAAATTCTAAATTCAAAGTAAAACAACAAACAAAGGAAACAAGTAGTAAGGAAAAGCAGTTAGGAAAACAACAAAATTGTTAGATTTAAGTTAAAATACAGTGATAATTAATAGTAAATGTTTTCCACATTCTGATTAAAAGATAGTTTTTGCTGGGTACAGAGGTACATGCTCATAATCCCAGCTACTGGGTTGGCTGGGGTAGGGGATTGCAAGTTCAAGGCCATCCTGTGTAACTCCAGAATAGTTACAAAAGAGAATTTTTAGCACCCCCATGCACACAAAATTTTCTTTGACAGCCCACTTCATCCCAACACGTAGTTGGCAGTTGAAAAGCACTGTACCCATGAGGAGTGAAAAACAGCAGGAGATAAAAATGAATACAAAAACCATCCTCTCCTCCCCTGATATATCTTTATCTAAAAGGCTAAAATATACAGATTTCCTTAGCTAAATCGAAAGAGGCCTTTTAAAGCCTAAGCACGAGACCTTGACAATTAGCAACTTAGATGTTCAACTCTGGTTACTACTCTGGTGTTCTTGAAGATTAACAAGGAATAGGATGCTCCAAAAACACATTTCTAAGATATCTACGCTTGCCAGCTCTGATGCTTTCCCATGTCCTCATTCCCTTGTGAAACCCCAATCTCTCATCCTGACTAAGCATTTCCTGTCCAGAGAACTCAGTGATCTAAACAAACCCCTAGCCCATGTGGTGGGCCACACCTGTAATCCCGGCACTTTAGGTGGCCGAAGCAGGAGGATCACTTTGAGTTCCAGGCCAGCCTGGGTTACATAAGAAAGTACAAGGCTCTCTTGTACTACACAGTGAGACTGTTTAAAACAAACAAATACTCCCGTCCTTCTTTTATTTCTTGTCTATTAGTAATACCTTTACCACCCCGCTGTGAGCCTTCTGACCCAGCATTAGGGAGACCCTGCCCCTGCCCCCCAAAACAACAATTAAATGCTAGGGTGGATCTCAATGGCAGAGTGCATAACTAGCATACTCAGGACCTGTGTTCCATCTCTCTCTCTTTTTTGGTCTTGCTATGCAGTTCAGGCTGGCCCTGAGCTCACTTTGTAGTCTAGGCTGACCTCGAACTTGCAGTAATCGTTCTACCTCAACTTTCCTAGTACTAGGATTACAGGTATGCGCCAGCATCCCCAACTGGTTCCTCATCTTGTACCACAAAAAAAAAAGAGAGAGAGAGAGAGGCAAATATAAGGACAGGGATCAGAGAGCACATACACACACACACACACACACACACACACACACACACACATATGCAGGCACTGGGAGGTAGATTTAGGGGTTTTTTTTTTTTTTTTTTGTACCAGGGATAGAACTCGAGACCTTACACTTGCCAAGCAGGTGCTCAAGCCGCTGAGCTAAATCCCTGACACTAGATTTAGTTTTTAAAAGAGGAAGTCCTACATATATGGATCAATAAGACATCCTCTTGAAGTGTAACGATGCAATGCAGATATTTTAAGGGGATTACACCTAATCTGGTTAATTACTAAAAACTCAACAATGAATCACGATGAGAAAAATGTTCACTTAATTAATTAAAATTGAAGAGGTATAAAAACATCTAAAAATAACAGTAAGTTTTTCCATCTTCAGAGGATGACAGTGTATGTTAAAAGAAAATTAGGGGCTGGGGATTTAGCTCAGCGGCATAAGCACCTGCCTTGCAAGCAGGCGGTCGTGAGTTCAATCCCTGGTACCGATAAAAGTGAACAAGACAAAAAAAAAAAAAAAAAAAAGAAAAGAAAAGAAAAAAGAAAGAAAATTAAAGGAGCAATATTCATATCAGAAAAAGCAGACTAGCTGGACATGGTGGCACATGCCTAAAACTCCTTATAATCAGGAGGCTGAGGCAGGAGGATTCTTGCGAGTTTGAGACAAGTGGGCTACAAAGTGAGATCAGCCTGAAATGCACAGCAAGACTATGTCTCAAAAAGATGAAAAAAGAAAAGAAAAAGTAGACTGCTGAACATGTGACATTATTAAGGATAAAGAAAGAATTTCCAAACCAGGCATGGTGGCTCATGCCTGTAATCCCAACACTTGGGAGGCTGAAGCAGGAGGATCATTGGGAGTTCAAGACCAGCCTGGGCTACAAAGTGAGCTGAAGTCCAGCCTGAACTGCATAGCCAGCCCCTGTCTCAAAAAGATCCCCCCCCCCAAAAAAAAGTTCTTTAAGAAAGAACTTCCTCGTGATTCAGTTGACAATTCATAAATATATTACAGTCCTGCATTTGATGCCAAATATTTCTCAGATCCCAGTAGAAAGGAAAACCTTCCTTGAAATGTATTACCAAGAGAAATACAGTAAAAATAGAAAACCTGAAGAGGCCTAAATCCACTAATTAATAGAATTCCTAATTATAATCTTTTTTAAATTAATTAAGTTTATTGGTACATTTTACATATACCTAGTGATCACATTCATCATTGGGAATTTGTATCTGTATATGATATAACTTGATTCTTTTTTTTCCATTTCCCTAACTTTTCTCCAACCCCTCTCTACTCCTTATTTCCAAAGGTTTTTTTCTATTTTTTCCTAACAATTTTCTCCCAAAGAAAACTTTAGACTCAGATTATTTCGTGAAGAATTCTATCAAGCATGAAGAAGAAACAGGATCAACTAGATGCAAATAATTTAAGGAATTAGATGAAACCTTCTCTACTTATGTCTTTAAAGTCAACGTTATGCAGATAGCAAACTTTGTTAAATAATAAGAAAACTAAAGACTCATAGCTTTCCTGGAGACAGACAGAAACTCTTAAGCCAATGGAGCCCAGCAATATATAAGGGACACAGTACCATGATCAAATGGATTTTCCCCAGAACTCAGATTGGCTCAATATTCCAAAATCAGTCATTTTAACCCACCACAATTATGGAGAAGACAAAAAATACAAATTCTGTCTCAGCAAAGACACGATTGACGATTGGAAA